ATAATTCTATTTGATGAAAAAAAAAATTCGGGATTTTACATGAGAAGTAACGGGTGCCCTACCCCACACATCACTATGTATCAAATCAAATGGATGGACAATATTCAGTGTGTGTGCAGGAAACAACAGTGTTTTACTTTTATCAAGCCTACAAGAATTGCAATCAAATTGGACAACATTAAGTGAAAGTGATTCCCAAGTAGATCATAATTGTGCAAATTATGAAGTACATTAGGATTTGGATGTCCGAGATGTTTTGCCATGCTTGGCAATCAACATGAACAGAGTTACAAGTGACAAAAGGTAATGAAAAACATGGAGATGAAGGTAAAGAAAAAGGAAAAAGACGTCCCACTTTAGTCCCCTCACGATCATCTTCCCTAATTGTTGATCCTGCACAATACAACCAGATTTAGAGAATTCAACTTTTGAATCCTTTTCAACCAATTGACCAACAAAAACAAGATTAGTGATAAGGGTTGGAGGCACAAAGACATTGGTTAAAGAAGGAGAAAAATCACCCGTGGTTGTGATATGTAAAGAACTACCATTAGCAGTATGAATCTCAAGATTTCCAAAATATTTGTGTACATTGGTAAGAGTTTTGGTGCTGTTTGTCATATGATTTGAGGCGGCAGCAGCATCAAAAATCCAAGGAGAAGATGTAGAGAAGGGTTTACTTGCAAGTCCTAAAGCAGAGAATGCAAAAATGATCATTTGTTGGATCATTTTAGGAGTCACCGTTGGAATTTTTTTATTGTTTATTTTGATGGACATTCCAATTTTTAGTGTGGATGAACAGGAGTAGGAGCGCTTTATGTCAAAGGTGTTGTATCCACATAATTACTTTCACTAGAAGAGCCAACGGTAGCAGTACACGTTATTTCAGATTTCCTGGAACTTTTTGGAGCAGCTAGAAGTCAAATGGCCAATTTTTTTGCAACTAAAGCACTGGACAATGCTCATGTCCCCGCCACTTAACTTGCCTTTTGCTGCAAAAGCCATATGAACAGGGGAAGAGGTGGAGCAATGTTCTTCCATGGTACTTTGAGTGAGGAGGCGATGTTCTTTGTGAAATAAGTCATTGGGGCATGCATCCATTGAGGAGACAGGATCTCAGTTCATAAGATTAGGTCGGATGCCTTCGAATTCAGATCTTAGTTTCATAAGAAACTGAGCTTTCTTAGTTGTTTCATGGACTGATTGAATGGAACTAAGACCTTCGGAAGCTAAAGTGGCATAGATAATGTCTATATATTCAGCCAAAGATTCATGAAGGTAGAGTAAAAATCAGAGATGGATAGATTCTCCTGTTAGAGACTGGCCAAATCAAGTTCAAGTTGGAACGACGAGCAGTGTTGTTATGACTGTAGACCTTCTTAAGGAAAGTCTACATCTCAAGAGCAGTCTTTGACTGTCGGAGGTTCAAGACAAGGTTGGATTCGATAGATCCGAGAATCCACGTCATTACTTGGGCATCCTTGACTTCCCATTTGGAGTACAGATTCGGGTCTGTGCCTTAATCAGGAGCAGGTTTGCTGCCATCAACATGGCCCCATAGATCCTTGCCTTTGACAAAAACCTTGAAGTGGAACTCCCAGGCTAAGTAGTTTTTGCCATTAAAACAAATCAAGAAGGCATCAGACTTGTCTGAAGACATGATGCTGGGGAATTGATCGAGAATAACCAAGAACTAAGAACTGAACAAGAGTTTTCAGAATTGTGGCTCTGATACCATGACAAATTAGAGAGTTTTTTTCTGAGAAAACTGTGTTATCTATTGTTAGAGAATACCCTTTATATAGGAAATATACATACAGAGATTGCAGCCTTGATTTACAGATATTAAAGATGATTTACAGCCTGCTGATTTCTAGTAATTTACAACCCTTCTTTAATATTAGCATGCATATCAAATCCAGAAAACGTCTTAACAGAGATACTAAATGCTTCATCAAGCCTTACTGGTGATTGACAAATAGTATCTTATACGTACGTGTTATAAGGAATAAATTAGAAGTTGTTACATAGGCGAGTTTATGAATAACGATCCGTTGGGCAAAATTTATAAATCGTTTATAAATGGTCAAACTTCATTTTTAACCGCACTTTCCAATGTATCCACAAATTCTATCCAGTTATCCATCACTCATTTCTATCTATTTATAAATTGAATCATTTATAAAATTCTTCCCAAAAATGGAGGCTAAATAAAAACAACTAACAATCGTTAGCAACTGAGACTGTCTATAAAAAGTAGTAGTATCAATGTAACAGATTAATTCTAATTTCATATGATTCATACATGTTGGGTTTTGATACCCAATAAATCCGGGCGATGATTTAAAACAGTTGACGGATAATTTATCGACACCATAGACTTGACTCGACTCGAATACTACCGATACTTTTGGATGGCCCAAGTTGGAG